TGTACTGTTACTCTATGTGGCAGCGGTTGTATGACACCATCGAATCATCGACTTATGGGGTCGAGGGAGTGAAAGTTGAATTTCATAAGGGTTTGCCTAAAGAAGAGGATATAATAGAATGGAGCAACAAGGAGCGTGAACACAAGTTGTTGGTTGTAGACGACCTTATTGAGGAAGTCTGTCGCAGTCCGAGCATGTGTAAACTATTCACAACAATGAGTCACCACTTAACCATTTCAGTTTGTGTTATCAGCCAAAACCTGTTTCCATCAACATGCTACGGGAAGTATGCCAGAACTATTTCACTGAACTCACATTTCATTGTTCTTTTTAAGAACCGAAGAGACGCGTCGCAGGTGGCAACCATTGGTAGACAGATCCTCCCAGGGAAGGTGGGCTTCTTTCTTGACGCGTATGAAAGAGCAACGGAACATAATCCATACGGTTATTTGTTGATAGATCTCTCACCCAAAGGAAGCAAGAAGTATCAGTTCAGAACTAATATATTCCCTGGGGAACTGGTGACCGTGTATACACCAACAATACAATGAGTAGTAAGCAGCGTATACGCCTCCCCTTTCACGAAGAAACATATGTTTTCTTGCGACTCATTGCGCGCACTCAATCCGACAGACAGCGGAAGGCATTACTGGATACTATGACCACTCAACAAATGGATTCTTTGTGTGAGATTTGTCTGAATATGTTACGAGGAAATATCCCTTTATCTGAGGACTATAAAACGAGACTCCGGAAGAAGAAAAACCAGTTACGGCTTATAGCAGACAGGTCGGTGAGTAGAGTAAACACTAGGAAATTATTGGTGGGAATTAGAAAGGAGTTACCAATCATCATTTCTTTGTTTGGGAGAGGAAATCGCTCTCCCATCGAAGAAGAAGGAGAAGTAGGAAGCGGTGAAGAAGAGGAAGAAGAAGAACTCCCTAGTGAGTAGTGTGAGGAAGTCGCAAACACAATAAAATAAGAGGAAATCATGTGCACGAGCTCAATCCGAGCCCAAGAACTGGTGCTCGTTCCAAAGAGGAAATACGAACTGCTGTTGAGACACCAACAAGGGGAAGAAGAACCTCACCATACTGCTTCTTCTTTATCTGGTAGTAGAGGCACTGTAAACACACGTGACAGTGTTTACTCGTATATGTCACCAGATGAAGAATCCAACAAACTACAACAACAACACCATCATGGTGATAATGATAGTCGTGATGATGAAGATGATGATGATGGTGATGGTGATGGTGATGATGATGATGATGATGATGATACACATATTGTTGATCCCCGACTGCGGGAGGTGTGGGGTGGGGGTGGTGGAAAGCTAAAGAGGAAGAAGAATCTCAAAAAGAAGAAACTGAGGAAAAGGATCCCCTCCATTCATCGCTGGATTCGTTATTGATGGGTGATGCACCATCTTGAACTTAATTGTGATGTGGGGGTGATTTTCTCATCTATGACTGTGTGTGTTTTTACGTCGCCTCCCAACCCCGCCTCCCGCTTTGTGTGTGTACATGCGTGTTAGAAATGCTCACCAACAAAAAAAATAAAAATAAATGTGGAGTATGTATTATTTATGTGCTTAAGACTGTTGTAATATATATTATTATTATTATTATTATTATTATTATATATATATATATATATATATATATATATATATATATATATAGTATTTATGTGTTGTAAGATGTTTTATTTTCTTATCATTATATATATATATATACTGTTATATAGTATTTATGTGTTTTACTCGCCTCTGCTGCGGCTTTGTGCGTGCCTATACGAGTTTGTGTCTACATGCGTATTAGGAATGGTGGTTGGGTTTATGCATTTAAGACTGTGTGTTCTAGATATATAATATGTGTTTATACTATATTATTATTATTAATAAATATAATTATTTATTATTATATTATATATAGACAGTTTATAGTCTTTGGCTTTGTTTGTGGTATACGAGTATAGGTTTATTTATTCGTTATTTTTAAGAGATGTGTGTGTTTCTCTCTCTATTATTACAATAACATTGTCTGTATGTCTCCCTCTTTGATTGTACAACAACAAACTAAAACAAAATAAATATAAAAAAACCCCACTACTTTCATCGTGTTTGTGATTTTCCCCTGTGGATGGAGTGGTAATAAGACAACACTCATATATTAATGCAGCAAAAAGGTGAGACGCTTATTCAGCAAAAGGTGAGACGCTTACCAACCTTCCGTGTGTGTGTGTGTGTGTGTGTGTGTGTGTGTGTGTGTGTGTGTGTGTGTGTGTGTGTGTGTGTGTGTGTGTGTGTGTGTGTGTGTGTACGCGCGCAGCATGGAGGACACACGTACACGACCACACCCCAAAAAACCAACAAAAACAAACATGTACATTATACACACACAAGTCATTGATTTTATATAATATATATATATATATGTATAGGAGTACAATACAATCTGTATAAGCATATTACACACTCAAAATTAAAAACAAAACGAAACTGTGATTAAGTTCACTGAGAAACGATGGAACGTTCACATTCATGTTCTCTAAGGGATTCTCTATACGGCGTTGGCTCAGCCCTTTTGAACTTATTTTCATTCGTTCCCCTAAAGTTCACTGAGAAACGGAAGTTCACGGAGAAAACGATGGAATGTCACATTCATGATGATGTTGGGTTTGTTCACTTTTCTTCACCTATATTCGGTTGGTTTTAACACCATTTTTAGGGGGGATGTTGATATTCCATCATCCCTCACCTCTCGTTTACAATATAGATAGGACAACCCCATTCGTCGCTGGCTGTATGTGAACACTGTGTTATGTCTCGCTATGAAACCAACATTTTCAGAACCCCTGCTCTGCTGGTCTGTGAGAACGGCTTTGTACTTCTCTAAGGGATTCTCTATACGGCGTTGGCTCAGTCCTTTTGAACTTATTTTCATTCGTTCCCCTTGAACGTCTTGTTGGAGAACGTATGTTTTTGAATTCAGACATATCATTTGACAACCTTGTGATTCTAACTTAAACAACCCCGGTGTTCTCTTGTCGCGTTGAGCATGCCACCCGCAACACGTCCTAGGGAGAAAGTGAATGTCCGCGTCCGCTGTCACATCATCCTGGTTGCAGAACCCCTTCAACATGTGATAATATTCAGACAGTTTCTGAGGTTTTATAACATCATCAAGACACTGACCATGGATAGCGAAATACAGTGAATCTGTGTCCATTTGCAAAAGCTCAAAATCAGCTCTGTCCACGAAAATGTCTAAGAAATCATAATAGAACTCCAACATGCGTTGTTTGGCGTACTGCAGGATAAAAAATCCTAAGACGATTGGAAGATCCATGGTGATGCGTCTCTTGGCGGTCATAACCTCAAAGTCCTCAGTGTTTAATTGACACAAGGAGACGAACAGGGGATCATTTACCGTTGTTTTAGCATTGTCATCTCCACACACAAACCGACAGTTCATGTGCTTCGATTTGTCGAGGAGAACACCCCCATAACCAGCATTTCCTATGAGTTTAAAACACTCTCCCAGCAGGCTCAACTCGGTGTCAGCGTCTCCCATTCTCCGGGCTTGAGTGACTTTATCCGTGAAGGATTTAAAGCAGTCTTTTCTCCCGTACTCAACTGCTTGGTGAACTCTGGTTATCACTAACCCATGCTCCATGTACCATTTTAATAATGGCGATGCTAGCAACACCCTCCTCGCAGCCATCCCACCTACGAGGAGAATCCTATCCTTTGTGCTCAGCGATTGGTTGGACACATATTCCTGCATATGGGAACCTATAGAGGAATGTGGCACCTTACATGTTACGAACAATGGCGACATCTCGGAAAAGTGGTTGTACAAACCAGCAGCCACGTGAATGTCAACCTCCACCAATCCAAAAAAGCTACCCTCGCGCACACCCTTCAACAGGGTTCTCCCCGCGACAGGTTTGTTTCCATACTTACCATAAAATCGATGCTGTTTGCAAAACAGAAACTTCATCAGCTCTCTATTGTGTTTTTTCATATGACTAAATTCACACTCCCAAATAGTCACAAGACTATACCCAGCATTCTTTATATATTTTTCTTTCTCTCGCGTTCTTTGAAGACGCGTCTCAGCTCGCTCCAGTGATGTTGGTGTTGTTCGCATGCGTTCACCCACACGACAACCCGGTTTCGAACACCCATGCCAGTAGCAACCGTTGTACTCGTAACAGGTGTTTGTTTGCAAATGATAACCATCAACTAGGTATGGTCCTACCCGCTTTTCAGAGCCAGTGTTCATCTTGTGTGTCAATTGTTTATGTTCAGTGTAAGCCAACCAGTCTAACCAGTCATGCGATGCTGTATATTTTTCACACGACTTTACAGAGGTGAATTTCCTCCCATCCACCGTTGGTAACCACCGAATGTAATGGGATACTGGTAGTTCTTGGGCTAGACAATAAAGGTACAATGCGTTGCTGTCTAGTCCGATTATATTCCCACACAGCTTGTTTGCATCCCCTCGCAGATAGGTCTCACCTGTTTGGTGGAAGCGAGTAAACAACAGTGAAGGTCCACCACATATGCCTTGCTTCACAGTCTCGTATAAGTCACTATCCTTTTGATTGAATAAGGAGAACCCAATACCGGAATCATTGGCTGTCTTAAACAAGAGTTTTCGCGCAACACCTGGTATAGAAATAGCCTCTTTGAAGATGTCCACTTTTATTTCCTTCCAATAGAAATGTTTTAGTCGTGATATTGCTGTCACACCGGGTTCGACATCGAGGTTGTTGTACCAAATCAACAGATCTCTTAGCGTCTGCATATTATTTTCCTCCCACACCTTCTGCAGATAGGCATAATTTTCTTCAATGGAGGGAGGTACACGTTTGAGCTTCAGCGCTGCTAGCGTTTCTGCTGCAGACTCCTTTTCTCCCCTTTCTCGACGACGGTTGTTGTATATTTCTTCGTTTGGATCCAATAATGTATTAACTTGTTTCAGATCCGACCAGAAAGATTCTACAGGGGGAATACCTGGCTCATCCAATCGTTTGACATCATCTAGAAAGTCGTATGGAAAGAATCCCTTGCACTGGTCTACTTTCATTGTCCTCAAAAAACCAGCGTAGCTGGTACCAGGTGGTAGGTATTGAGAAAGATCCAGTATACGGAACTGATCGGTGGTTATGCAAACGTATTGGTTGTTTTTCTTGACGATAAACCCATCTCGACTAGAGTCAATTAGTGAGAGCGCACGAGCCAAGTGTGTTTTGACAAGGTTTAGGTCATACTTGGAGGAGTTAAACCCCAAAACAGGAACCTGGTGGCAATAGAGTAATGCCCGTTCCCTCAGGCGATGTAGTTTCTTTAGATGAATAGCATGTGATGGGGTCCATTTTTCTCCACGTTCTACCAACGTCTCCACATCAGCATCATCTATATCATCCCACTCGTTGTATACAGGGATGATCGCATCGGTTTCCATAACTTTCTTCAACAGTGTGTGGTACACGTTTGGTTTCGCAAGCCTGTTTAACATAGCTTTCGATGGGGGATCATCTTCACCTTCACCATCATCATCATCATCATCATCATCATCATCATCATCATCATCATCACATCCCGTGGGAGGAGCAACAATCATGTTTCTTCCTGAGGAGTTGCTCTCTCGCTGGGATGTGGACGTCTCACTTCGTTCTCGAAGTGTTGTGAGAAACTCTATTTGTTGTGTAAGTGCTCTGAGCGCTTCCCCGAGTTTATGCTCTGTTCGTTTTCCAGCCTCATCCGCTATATGGCTCATGTATGTCACCATACTGTTCAACAATACACCAGTATCCGGACATACCATACACTCAGGCTCTGTGTACCCCGGTACGTTACTACAGACGCTGACTGATATGGGATGATGTTTTTGCAACCATCTCGTGTTACCTGTTCCCTTAGCTTTTTCATTGGGAGCTGTCAGTAGTGCCTCCATGTCAAACATCACAAAGAAATCATAACACCTGTTTTCATCGGGGATGTTAACACCACACATATCTTGCAACTCTTCAAAAACCGATTGCTGAGTTTTCATGTACCCACCAGGTAATATCAGCTTAGTCCTGTTACAGCATTGTCTTTTTTCATGTTGTCGAACCTGACCGGGTCTTTTGAAGCATCTGTCGCAATGTCTACACTTATAACGTCGCGCATACGAACTGAGGTTTGTGATGTAAGAAAGGTGACCTTTGTAACAATTCATATTTAGATCCCCAACACCCCCAGCACAGGGTGTACCAATGGGAGACAGATATATGGGACTACAAGAATACCCCATGTCTTGTAAGGTAAAAATGTTCACTCGCACATTAAATAACTTTTCAAATGCGGGTACGTCTTCTGGAACTTTTAAACCTGAAAATGATTTTTTACACTTATTAGTTTTACGATTTTTCGTGGATCGTCTCCATTCATGGAACAGCTTGAGAGCGGTTTTTTCGCCTCCGCTCCATATAGGTTGTGGTGAGACAGTTGTATTTCGCTTCCTAAATTTCCGTTTTTTACACATCCGTAGGTGAGTAGCTAAGCAACGAAACGCGCACAGTGAGTCCTCGTGTCGGGATTTAGTCAACAACAAACACCTTTTTTTCCGAATCCAGGGTGGGATTGTACCACCACCCGAACCCCATCTCCCCAGAACATAATTAGTCAGGTACACAGAATATACCACGTTAGTGACGAATATGGGCATCCACTTAGTGTCAGGTCTTTGCGTCAATACATGATCATCCATGCTTTTCCGATGTATACTGGATACGATCCGTCGAATAGAACTCGCGTTTGTGACGAACCGCGGTCTGTCAAATAACTGGTTATTGCGATATGCTATGAAGTATCTATATTCACCAGTTTCAACATGCAATAGAATAATACCGAAAGCTACGTTCACCTTGAATGATTGTTGCTCGTTTTGATATATGTAGTCGAGTTGTCCCGAAAAGTCGATAGAATCGATGTTATCTCCGTTTAGTGGGAAGTTGTAAGTATGGTGAACATTGCCCTGGGTCTGGTGAGGACGCAGTATTATATCCCTATGTGTGGTATAATTCCTCAGTAATGGATGGTCTACAATCTCACCGCTCTCGTCTGTCCAAGGTCTCTGACGTTCATTTGCTGTCCATGGTTGTGGCTGTAAGCGACCATGCTCATCGTTGTCGTTGTTTTCATGTTGACCTCCCCTTTGATTGTTAGGAGGGTGAGCTTCGAGGTGGTGATTCCACATCGCTCGTCTATCTGGAAATGGTTTGAAACAGATCCGACACCTCAACGTCGACCTGTTTGGGTTGTGCTTACACAGTCGGGAATGAACATTAAGCCCCCATTTCCGAGCGAATTGTCTCCCACAATGCACACAAACGTGAAGATGTGAATGTTGGTTGTTGTTGATGTTGTTGTTGTTGTTGATGGTGTTGTCACCCGTCGAAGAGGTGGATGCTACTGATTCACAATTGTTGCTGTCCACGTGTTTATGGAAGCGTGTATTATCGTTGAATGTTGCATGACACTTCAAACATTCTAATCTACATCTCGAAACACACAGTTTATAATGTTTCTCGTACTTGCTACGTCCTCCTTTAATCCAGCTATTGCAACGTTTACATCTAATTAGGTTGAGAGGTTTTATCCTATCATCTCCTCCTCCCACCATGGTTAAATGACTCTCTCTCTCTCTCCTTCTATTCGGTTACTTTCCTATTTGCCGCTTTGAACGTGCGTGCGGCGTTGATGTATGAGACAACTTGTATCGCATCTTCAACGGGTAGACACACCCCATTACTTTTCTTGAAGGTAGTCTTCTCAGCACCGGTCTTCCGACTGCTAACTCTTCTGACGTTGACGTACCAATAGTTATTGAACTTTGAATACGTCACCTTAAAGCGAGGACGAACTGAGAGCATAAACCCGGATGTCATGACAGCACGGCTTCGTTTCCTGTACCTCTTCCTCACGGTTGTGAGTTGACGCTTCAGTAACCCCAGGTTGGTTGCGAGCTGTTGGTGTGAAACAATAACTTTGAGCTAGCAGTGATAGGGGAAAAAACAAACCAAAAAAAAAACAAAAACACACAAAAAGGTAAAGGAAATTAACTTAAGAAACACACACACACACACACACACACACACACACACACACACACACACACACACACAAAACGCATTGCGTGTGAATGTTTTTTGTGTTTTCCACGCAATATTATGTAGAAGGAGAGCGCGCGCGCGCGCACACACACACACACACACACACACACACACACACACACACACACACACACACACACACACACACACACACACACGTTAATACTCACCTTTTTAGCAATGATCCAGGGCATCTTCAATTTGCTGGCTATATTCTGGGTGTTTCTTTTAATCACAACCACCATCACATCATCAATTTTTACTTTGAGAGTGGCAGATATAGCATCCTGAATGACGACCCACTGCCCCCATTTGAAGCTCAGTTCTTCCTCCTCGTCATCACCATCTTGCTCGATGGTGGAGGATGAAGAGCAAGAGAGTTTGTCATCATTATCAGTGTCGTCAAGGTCATCATCATCATCATCATCCAAAATTATTACGGTATCGTCGTCATCATCCGTGGTGCTCCCCGCTTCCTCCTTTCGAGATGGTTCGGCTTCGCTACTTCTTCGCTCGGCTTTGTTCAACGGTGTATGGAGCTTACTGGTACCCCCCTCCCCTTCTTCACCACTGCTTATGTCAACGATTGTGGCCTCATCATCATGGTGTTGGTGGAAAACCATCCCTTTCCTGATGAGTTTAACCGCGGGTGTAGTGTCAACCGAGTCGTCTACCTTGGTGGGGGAGGTGCGAGGTCTTTTTTCCCCTCGGAAGAAAGCCGACATAGGTGGAGTTTCCATTTCTCCTAGTAAACCGACGACCCCTGATGATTCGTAAAAATGCAAGACGTAATTTTTGGGGGATAGGTCTCTGTATTGATATATATATACCCTACCGACCACGGGGTTGTCATGTGTCAGCACTTTAACAAACACATAAACAAACCCACTGGTTGCTATGTCGCATTAAAACATCATGCTTTATGAAACACCATAATCGAGTTTTGATTGATATTTGTGAATTAGATTGAGTAGGTTTGGGTGACTACATACGCGAGAAAGTGAGAGGCTACGATTTCTCACGTTCTCATTTGCTAGTGAGTGTTTTTGCGTTGGTAACACACAGCCTTTCTATCCATTCCCACAAACCACGCACACACACACACACACACACACACACAAAAACAAAACAACACTCGAGTGCTATACCCCCATCCCCTAACAACCGCTGGAGGGAGGACCTAGCGTTTGATTGATATTTCCTCTTTCTTTCTTCTTTTGTCCAGCCAGTTCGTTCGCTCTTCTCAGGAGTCAGTTAGACGCTCAGTCGGTCAGTACCTCTCTCGGCTACCCTAGCTCACTGCTTCTCGCGAGCCTACCCCCCTCGCACACCCCCACCATGTTGTTATCCTTAATGGTGTGGATTTATTTTGGAGTGGTCAAGGAAGTGGCGTTCGCTTTTTTCATTCGAGAGTCGAACAACCCTTCGATGTATATCGCGGAGCCCTCAGCGAGAGCACCCCCTCTGGGTAGGGGGATATTAAGGTTTACTACCCCGCTACCACCCTTCCACCAAACCCATCGCCCAGGAGGACTCGAATACCACCGCGGGTAGGTGTGTGAGAGAGAGAGAGAGAGAGAGAGAGAGAGAGAGAGAGAGAGAGAGAGAGAGAGAGAGAGAGAGAGAGAGAGAGAGAGAGAGAGAGAGAGAGAGAGAGAGAGAGAGAGAGAGAGAGAGAGAGAGAGAGAGAGATGTGTGTGTAAATGAATATATATATAGTAACAATAATAATAATATTTATACGTTTACATCATCTACTAAAAAATGTTGTGACATTGCGTTTTCAGCTCCACCCCCTCACTCGGACGTGGGCGAGCGCACATACTGAGCATGATTTTGGCTAACAATCACAATAATTGAGCTCCTCGCGAGGTAAGTGTATCATTCATTTATTTATTTATTTATCCATTTATTTACGCGCCCACACACACACACACACACACACACACACACACACACACACACACACACACACACACACACACACACACACACACACACACACACACACACACACACACACACACACACACACACACACACACACACACACACACACACACACACACACACACACACACACACACACACACACACACACACACACACACACACACACACACAGAGATGATGGAGTGTTGCGATAGTGGGAGGTTCCTCCTGTATTGTATGTGTATGTATGATATGACTCTTACATGTTCCATAGACAGAGTCACACCCCCTCCCTTTATATACGTTATCTACTAAAGCTCGAGTTTGACTTAAGAACGAGCATAAACATCACAAACTCAACCGTTAAAGGATGTCGACGTATGGGGGGAGACCAGTAGTGGTGACTATAGAAGGGTTAATTGGGTGTGGGAAGTCAACGCTCTTGCAAACTTTCCTGGAACGTAAGATCGCTAATGAGGCGTCATTGAATACGCTCTGTCTACCCGAGCCTCTGGATAAATTTACCCGCCTTTTGGATAGCAGCGGAAAACTTTGGAATCCTCTACTCGAATTCTACAACGATCAAAGGTCGAACATGGTTGCTTTCCAGCTGCATGTTATGGACTCCTTTGAGGAACAATTCTCCCGAGTTTGTGGGGATGAATTCAACTCCGTGCTAATGGAAAGGGGAATACATTCGACGGAGATTTTCATAAATACTAACCGCGAGGTGGGGAATTTGTCGGCTTTTTCAGCTGCCTATCTATTGAGTCGGTTGCGTAGGTGCGCGCGGACTTGGGAGAAATGGTCATGTCAATATATATTTTTTATAGATACCCCCATAGCTGAATGTACCTTGCGTAAAATGATTCGAAATAGAGAAGAGGAAGAAGGTGCTGGGTCCGAGTTCGAGTCCTATCAGGGAGTGTTGCAGAAACACTATTACTCACTCTTGGAAAGGTTCCGAGAGGACAATGGTTCTCGTTCTGTTCATGTGTGTCGCGAATTGGATAAAGAGCGAGTGTATGATGACTTCCTTAACTGGTTCACGATGGTTGTTGCTAACGAAACCACAAAAAACTCAAGGTTGAGTAGGATGCGTGATGTGAAGGGGAAGTTGCCTCTATCAGTTCCACTCAAACCCGGAAGACGATCACGAAGAAATGGTGTCGCTCTGAAAGAACGATTTATTCAAAATAAGATCAACACGGGGAGGGGTGACAAAATTGCTCATCGACTTCGTCGTCGTCGCCGTAGTGCGAAGCGCGAGGGTATAAAGCATCCAGACAGTCATAATGCTGGAATACTAAAGTCATCACCCCCCGCTCAAAGAATACGCAGTTGCTCTGTTAAACTTTCTCCACTGCGATGTTCTGACTTTACATCGCTTCGGAGTTGTTGTGTAATGTTAAACAGTGTGGTTGTTGGGTTTAATGGAGGAGTTCTTTACAGTTAATGTATGACATACAACAAGTGTTATGCACTCTCTGAGCAAATGTTCTCCAATATGCTTTGATGTGACATAATTCTATGACTATGTTGATTTGATGTTCTTTTTTAAATGCAGTGCTCATTACATCACCTCTGATGGATGTTGCGACACGGCTGACCCCCTATATATATGGAACACCCTTTGATTGTGGATATTTTAGCTGAATGTAAGCACCATCTGATTTCATTTGTTAATAAAATAATCAGTGTCATAATGTGGTGTGTTGGTTGATTGTGAAGATCCGGAAAGCGGGATCATACTCTGTAACAGCAGTGGGAAGCTCTGGGGAGTGTTTAACCAATCCTACTCGTGAAACGAGACATTTTGCAGACGAACTATTATGCGTGTGAGAGCGTATTGTCATCCCCAAGGATCCGTTGTCATACCACACACAAACATGGGAGTTTGTTTATGTCGTCGCATTCAGCAGTATTCCAGCTATATGATGCGGGTTGTGATATTGGGTGAAAGAGGGGAAGAAGAACAAAGACAATGTGTTTAGTGTAAAAAAAAAATATGATTTATTCTACATTATGGTGATTACGACTAGAAATACACATATTCACGCAAATACATTAATTATATACATCGCAACAAGTACTTACAAACACACACACACACACACACACACACACACACACACACACACACACACACACACACACAATTACATTAACAATACATGACGCAACAATCAAATAAAACACCACACATTATTGCAATCAGTAGGATAGTCTATTTGGCGCTCTCCTTCGACGTGTGGAGCGTCTGGGGAGCTGTGGAAGGTTCGCTTCCACCTGTTGTTGTGAACGAGGTTGTTGTTGTTGGTGATGTGTTGGTGGAGGTTGCTGGAGCTGTTGGGGGTGTTGCGGAGCAAGCTGGTGGTGTGGCTGGTGGGGTTGTTGCTGTTGTTGCTGTTGTTGTTCCTGTTGCAAGCGCACCAGCTGTTGGGGAATGCGCTGCACATAGTCCAGAAGGTGGCGAATGATTCTCTCCCTCATGAGAAGAGCGAACCCAGCAACAAACCAGAGAAGGAGCTCCATCACACACTTTGCGATGCCTGTAATAGATAATGCGAGTTACAATCACCTCCACACACAAAGTCGCATCTATTCGAGGTGCCGATGATGGATAATCGCGGGCTCCGAAGGTGACTGCCGTCGCGCTCTGTCTATTTCCGAAATGTCTAACATGTCGATTTCAATATCATGTTGTTCTCGTCGCTTGCAACACCCTCGGCCTCGGCGGCACCGTTTGCATACCCCCCAATAGTAGGCACACGCGATCCCCAAGACGACCCATCCAAGTCCCAGAACGGATATGACTGGTGGAATCCACGCATCGATTTCTGTAAAAAGACAATTACAACTTAACATCTTTTATAATAATAACACCATCTACATTGTGATAGTAAATAGATAATAGTTATCCTAAGGTGTGACGCGATGGTTGACTTACCTCACATTACTGAATCAGTAGTAATAATGTCATCATCCATCATTTCCATATGAAAATTCATTGGGTGGTGGTGTGATTGCAGTTTAGTTACACACGCATAACAACACACCCGCTTAGCTGATTTGCAACGACGACAGTATACGGTGGTGGTGATTATTACAACCATTAAAAGTCCAACACCGCAAAACGACCACAACCATTTGGAGTCTGTAAGATATAACGGGTATAGTATGTTTAATATATCATGTGTATCATGTTAAGCATTATTACCAACTTCCTCGTATAAAGATGAGGATGATGTGATGAAGCCGGTCTCATCCCATTCCGTCTCATCCATCACCGCAATTGAGTTAAGGGACATAGATGCACTAACCATAGGTTGTAATTCCCTCACACCCGGTAGCAGTTGCCTCATTTGAATATATCTCATCTTGCTTCTCAAACGATAAATGAGACAGAAACCCACACCCACAACAACGGATAACGCTACGAACATGATAATCAAATTATACATATTTACTTTGTTTCCGTTTCTTGGTGGCATTGTTGGTATACTACCTGATACATTATACGGCTGTGTTGTTTCGTCTTCCTTGATGTTGCTGAATGGGGATGTTGTTACGATGGGGCTGAATGGGGTGATGATTGGGGTTGTTGTTATGGTGAGGTTGGTGGTGGAGGTAGTAGTGGTAGTTATAATAGTGGTGGTGGTGGCGACAGCAGCAGCAGTAGTAGTAGTAGTAGTAGTAGTAGTAGTAGTAGTAGTAGTAGTAGTAGTAGTAGTAGTAGTAGTAGTAGTGGTAGCAGCAACGGCGGCACCATCATGGGAAGTAGAGGATGGATCGGGGTTAGTCGTCGTGACTGGAATATATATACATCAACTTTACATGTTGCATACTACCTCGATTAACGCGTGAATATTTGATGGAGATAATGATTACACTTACCTTGCGCAAACTCTCGGGTAGTGGAGTTGTTGAGCGTAGCCTGGTGTGTGGTGGTGTTCCCATCCATGGGCGTCTCTGTTGGGTGTTGGTGTTGGGAAGAGGTGGCTGTAATAATAAAATGCCTGGTAAAAAAACAACATTCACACCTGCACACCTGCACACACACACACACACACACACACACACACACACACACACACACACGCACACACACGCACACACAGACACAATTAAATATATATATATATATATATATATATATATATATATATATATATATATGTTACTAACCTGTTGTTGGAGTGGTAGTATAATCTGTTGAACTTGGGTTGCTGGGGGTTGTTGTTCCTGGAGAGGTGACTGACGTTGACTGTAACATGAATAACAAAAAATAGTTGTAAAACACACATAATAATATTCTATAAGTGTGTGTGTGTGTGTGTGTGTGTGTGTGTGTGTGTGTGTGTGTGTGTGTGTGTGTGTGTGTGTGTGTGTGTGTGTGAGACACTCGGAAAGAAAGATAATGCTTACCTGTTGTTGGCATAAAACCCGACCAACAACGTTAACTGTGACGTAGTCGGGTTTCGTGATGTCGCTGCATGAAACGGATGAGAGTCGCAGCTCCACGTGCTTCAGGTTTGGGTAGGCCTGTCCGTTAATGGAGAATGGTGAACGCCATCCACTCCCCCTCACTCGGATGATTTTCGGGTGATAGCCCTCGATCAGGTCTCTAGATCCGGTCCCAAGGCAGTTCAGTAAGATGTTGTGTTGCACGATGCAACGCCGAGGCAACTGTGATGCAATGTTACCCATCGCTGATGCTCCCATCACCAGGGTCATGGTGATGAGGATGGTGGTCGTCAACGCTTCTGTCATTCTCTCTGTCTTCTCCTGTCGCTGTGTGCTGGTAAGGTGGGCAGTGACCGGTGACCTGACCTTTTATATACGTAAGATAACCTCAACCCGCGCGGAGTAATTCCTTGATTAATTACGTCACACCAGACAATGATTGGTCATTACTGACCGCATGATGATGGGAGAGGTGGATGTGGGAGGGGTTTGAATAGCATTCACGGGGTAATGAAGTGGGGGTTGGGCATTTTGTTTGTGTACTATATTTTATGTTGATGAATGGGTGTAATGCATTATCAATATATGATACACTCAGATTCAGTCATTTCATGAATTTCACTTAGTAACTTTAAGCTAACCAAGGGGATCTCATAATTTCAACATGTCTCATTATCGGGGTGAGGTAAACTATCGTGTCAGGAAATATGAGACTTTGAGCAGCATTTACACCTCCTGATGATTGTTTGACGCATGGTATGACCAGAACACCAGCAACACTTCACAAATCCCTGTGCACCACATGTAGATGAAAATGGAATTCATGAAATGACAGAAGTAGTTTGATTGTTGTTACACAAAATGTGTGACATTTTACATGATCTGTGTGCTCGCGGTATTGGTGAGATACATGGTGTATACTAAAATGATAAGATTTGTATTTATCACGTATAATGAAGGGCTCGTCTCCACGCCAAGTGGTTTGTTTTGATTCGAGATGTCAAAAATGGATGGGGTCGATTTAATTCCTAGTAATGTTTGGAGATGAAGTATTTAATTCCTAGTAATGTTGGAGATGAAGTATAATCTGTTTGCGTTTGTGAGGGTATCGGCATTGTGGTGTCAAGTCAGCGCAGTTATATTATATATATTTCGCTTGGTAAGCGATTTACCTTCAATTGGAACATTATTACTAACTGTACTATGTCCATACGTTGTCACCATAGTGTGATTGTCTACTCCGAAGTGTCTTTACCCTCCTCTGACGTGGGTATGATTGAGGACTCGATAAATACCACTACTATTATACTAATAATTCTCCTCTGACGTAGGTATGATTGAGGTCTCGATAAATACCACTACTATTATACTTCTAATTCTCATAATAAAGCAAACCTCTCCTTCGACTCTTCATTCACTTCCCTTGTGTGAGTGTGCTGGGGTAGTTTTCTGTATTTGATGAGAATGTCTGCTCCACGCAGAATTACTGTAGTTAAAGCAAAACCCGATACCACGGTTCATACACCGGGCGTTCCTTCCAGTGATGATAGTGATGATGATGACTTACGACAGCCTTGGTTCATGGTTTTCGAGCGGTTAGTTGAGAATAGAGGAGTACAATGTCGTGTTGTGGATAGTTCAACCGATATAAAAACTATTTATCACTGTAGCGGGTGTGACTTTACGTGTTACGAATCCCGATATGTTGAGTACCACAAAAGTCTGCACGAGCGGTACAATAATGAAAGTGTGCGGTTTTCCAGAACTGAGGAAAAAATACGCAAAGAAGACTATACAATGCAACCCGACATGAGACAATAAAGATCACGCATAGATCCAAACCATTCTCACCCCAACATCATCAGCCCCTCTTCCTTCGGAGGAGGGGCGCCTTGTTCAAAACCGCGTTCTATTGGTTGCGGTTGGGTTCGTGTATGTGGGTGGGGTAGATGAGTGGGGAAGGGGATGTCTAACGCGGAACACGTGTGGGAAGCAGCTGCAGTATGACAGTATACACACATCTTTGGGTGACAAATACCTTTCCCACTCATCTACCCCACCCACTGACTGTATAATATCACAATCAACTCCCATCAAAAAAGAGAGATGTCTAACGCGGAACACGTGGGGGACGCTACTACAGTATGACAATATACACACAACCCTTATACGACAAATACCTGATTGATGGGTGTTGATTGTGATATTATGCAGACGGCTTTTAATGATGGTCAAATTGGGTGGTCAGCGACTCCCGGCTCCAAGCCGTTCCGCTCCACTTCAGCTTGTGAAGTGTCGCGTGCGCCGCGTGGTGGTGGTGGACCGTTTCGCGTGATTTGTCTCGACTTGGGTGGTCAGCGACTCCGGGCTCGATAATGCTTACGTGTTGTTGGCATATAACCCAACCAAAAACGTTAACTGTGACGTAGTCGGGTTTCGTGATCTCGCTGCATGAAACGGATGAGTGACGCAGCTCCACGTACTTCAGGTTTGGGTAGGCCTGTCCGTCAATGGAGAATGGTGAACGCCATCCACTCCCCCTCACTCGCACGATTTTCGGGTGATAGCCCTCGATCAGGTCTCTAGACCCGGTCCCAAGGCAGTTCAATAAGATGTTGTGTTGCACGATGCAACGCTGAGGCAACTGTGATGCAATGTTGCCCATCGCTGATGCTCCCATCACCAGGGTCATGGTGATGAGGATGGTGGTCGTCAACGCTTCTGTCATTCTCTCTGTCTTCTCCTGTTGCTGTGTACTGGTAAGGTGAGCAGTGACCGGTGACCTGACCTTTTATGTACGTAAGATAACCTCAACCCGCGCGGTGTCATTCCTTGATTAATTACGTCACACCAAGGCAATGATTGGTCATTACTGACCGCATGATGATGGGAGAAGTGGATGTGGGAGGGGTTTGAAGAGCATTCACGGGGTAATGAAGTGGGGGGAGGGTTGGGCATTTTGTTTGTGTACTATATTTTATGTTGATGAATGGGTGTAATGCATTATCAATATATGATACACTCAGATTCAGTCATTTCATGAATTTCACTTAGTAACTTTAAGCTAACCAAGGGGATCACAATTTGAACATGTCTCATTATCGGGGTGAGGTAAAAGCAAAACCCGATACCACGGTTCATACACCGGGCGTTCCTTCCAGTGATGATAGTGATGATGATGACTTACGACAGCCTTGGTTCATGGTTTTCGAGCGGTTAGTTGAGAATAGAGGAGTACAATGTCGTGTTGTGGATAGTTCAACCGATATAAAACTATTTATCACTGTAGCGGGTGTGACTTTACGTGTTACGAATCCCGATATGTTGAGTACCACAAAAAGTCTGCACGAGCGGTACAATAATGAAAGTGTGCGGTTTTCCAGAACTGAGGAAAAATACGCAAAGAAGACTATACAATGCAACCCGACATGAGACAATAAAGATCACGCATAGATCCAAACCATTCTCACCCTAACATCATCAGCCCCTCTTCCTTCGGAGGAGGGGCGCCTTTTGTTCAAAACCGCGTCTCTATTGGTTGCGGTTGGGTTCGTGTATGTGGGTGGGGGTAGATGAGTGGGGAGGGATGTCTAACGCGGAACACGTGTGGGAAGCAGCTGCAGCATGACAGTATACACACATCTTTGGGTGACAAATACCTTTCCCACTCATCTACCCCACCCACTGACTGTATAATATCACAATCAACTCCCATCAAAAAGAGAGATGTCTAACGCGGAACACGTGGGGGACGCTACTACAGTATGACAATATACACACAACCCTTTATACGACAAATACCTGATTGATGGGTGCTGATTGTGATATTATGCAGACGGCTTTAATGATGGTCAAATTCAGTGGTCAGCGACTCCCCGGCTCCAAGCCGTTCCGCTCCACTTCAGCTTGTAGAAGTGTCGCGTGCGCCGCGTGGTGGTGGTGGACCGTTTCGCGTGATTTGTCTCGACTTGGGTGGTCAGCGACTCTGGCTCCAAGCTGTTCCGCTCCACTTCAGCTTGTGAAGTGTCGCGCGCCGCGTGGTGGTGGGGGTTGGGGGTGGGGGTCTTTCGTTTCGCGTGATTTGTCCTCGACTTGTCGGGGTAGTAAATCCTATGTTAATCTCCATTGGAAAATGTCCGGCAAAAGGCCTACATACCACTACTGGCTTCATCGAAAATGTCGCCATTTTTGACACAGTACGAAATCGCGATTCACAGCGTTATTTGCTGTATGTTTTGAAATGTGAAAACCGGATAATTACTGGGAGTATTGAATTTCAAAAATAACATATTCATGATCACTCATATCAGTTTTACATGAAATCGCTAAGTAAAATTCTGAAACGTTGCCGATGAATCTAGAATCGGTTGGGATGTTTTCCAAAATGCACTTATACGAACGCCGTAGAGCGCTTTCCGCCATATTGGATAGTGTTTACAAAATCACGTTTCGCGAAGGCCGGTATTGAGACGCATATTACATCACGTATATTCTCATATTCAGCTTCGAAAAATGCATCAATAAACTCCCATACATTTTAGACTCAAACTGCAAGTGGTCTTTGTCACCAATGCCAACTGTCTAGATAAAATGAGACGAAACATATTTATGTGAAAACGAACGCTGTGCTCGAAAGACTGCGCTGGTTCGAAATGTAAACAAAGACAAAACCTATTTTACACTGTGCTAGCATTTTCTGAAATTTTCCAACATTCATCCGTCTATTCATTGTTTGCAATGGCTCAATACCTTTGGAATATGCATGGAAAGAGTATCGTAGCAAGAAATAGGAAATTATAAATAGATACAATGCAATGATTTGATAATTCATAAGAAATTGTCAAAGTTTCCGTGCAGCGTGACGCCATGACTGACGGAAAATCACGCAGAACGACAACGGTAAATTATCTGGATTTCTGTCTTTTTTCTCTTACTTTTAGTGAAAACGATAAAACATATAACAATACACAGATAGTCAGAATCATTCTGGATTACTTACATCTCATATTTATGGACAAACGATCCCTGAATCAATGGAAGGGTTCTCGCAAAATCCTGTGTACCCTTTGTCAGCAAAGCCGCCATTTTGTAAGAAATCGGTCAGCGGTAGTGATGTCATACGTCAACATTGTTGTGCATATTAGGCAATTTCTTTGAGGTGAAGGTCGGTTGAACAAGAGTAAACACAATCGCCTTAATCCTTCCGATTACACTGTCAGTATTATGGTGTATATATTTGCGTATAGTTCAGATACTTTTTCATGAAACTGACTTCAGTATCCACATTTAGCCATGTTCAATATCATATCATACGTGCGTATAGGGTTTACGGTGTTTTATTCTTTGAAAGTTTTTGATTGTTTGAATCATATTTACATAGGAAATTGACATATTTAGTGCAATACACCATATTCTAAACCTTTTTTACACAAGTGTTAGAAGATCAAACGTAGCCATAACTGCAATTGCGTTAGTTCCGATGATGTACAATATTCAATGCATTTGGACTAATATTGCAGTTTCACATGAACAGGTTAATGAACGGCGATTTAATTCAACCTTATAAGTAAAACTGATAATATTAATGAAAATGATTTATATATGGTATGAAATGTATATGCACACATATTTAAAGGAATTGTCATGTTTTTGCACATTTGTGTGTCGGTTTATAGAGAAAACAATGATGTAAATTGATTGGCCAGGTGCGCGTTTGTCGGAAACGTTTTATGATTCACTATCATTGTTTTCGATAATATAATCAATTCATATTCGATTTAAAAATATTGTGATGACAGGATATCAAACTCTAACTATATTTATACGAAAATTGTTTAAAATATATAAACCATGTCATAAGTCTTAATTTGGACAAATCTTACATCCATATTCTAATATATAGTACGTACTAGTTCCATATATAAAAAAGCTATCTTTTGCATCTTCCATTGCATACTTATGAAGAGAAACAGACACATAATCATAAACAAAGAAAATTCTTATCCTAAACAAAATATTCGGGTGTTGTGAAATGTTATTTTCATTTACGTTAAATTGATGCCAAACAGGTGCGCGTGTTTCTCACAAAAAAGATACACAGTCAAACTGTCTAATTGTTGATATATTCAGGACACTATTTAAATGGAAAAATCAGTCATTTTATGTTTTGTCTAAAGAGTCTTAAATTCTGACATAGAAGCTGAGACCTTTCACACAATTAAAGGAAATTAGGTGAGATATGTACTAAACAGCTTACCAGTGTCGTCTTTTTCCGACGTCATAAAAATGCATAAAACAAGCAATGACGTCAACTAAAATGGTGTATTATTTTCAGCAATTTCATTACATTTGAAGATATGGCTAGTACTCTGGTAATAACGATGCAAAATTAGTCAAAATACATCTACACAAACAGGACAATATGGGAATCTAAGAACTAACTTAGATATCGGATAGGGCCATCCAAATCGCTATTACGTGCTTTCACCTGTAATACGTTGTCATTTTTCTTGTAAATTGTGAAACTACCAAACTGCATCCGCTCACATTGGGGAACTTTTGAATTGGGATGGTTTGGTTCACCGTGAACATAAAATAACGAAAATATAGCGTCCGTATCCACAACAAATTCTCATCCATTACATTTAGCACTCGGACGCAAGCGTCCTCGTACTTTAACTATAATAGTTCAGGGCGAAAGAGTGTTTTATTACACTATACATGGTGGTAAAGCGAACTGTATTTCTTAAATATAAGCAGAACATAATTCCAGATTCAAAGACAGGTGAACAGTTAGTATTTTGTCAAGTCACCATGGGCAGCAATACAGGCTTCAATCCGGCGAGGCATACTACTGATCAAAGAAGTTAGAAAGTCGTGGTCCATGCTGTCCCAATATCGGACCACCTCTTCTTTCATTTCAGCAATATTTGTCAGATTTTTCTTATTGACACTTTCCTTCATAAGTCCCCAAAGATTTTCTTATTGACATTTGGATTTAGGTCAGGGCTATAGCTTGGCCAATCTAATAATGTCATATTGTGGGTCCGAAACCAGGCCTGTGAATGCTTTGAACGATGTTTTGGGTCGTTGTCCTGCCGGAAAATCCAAAACTTTACATAGAACACGTGAGCAGATGGAAGTAAATGTCCCTCGAGAATATCTGTGTTCCGCTCACTGTTCATATTCCCTTCAAATACACAGAGGGGCGTTGCCCCTAACACAGAGATGCCACCCCACACGTTAAATTTCGGACTGTACATTGGGGGCTGATACAAAGGTTTTTCAGTTTGTTTGGTCCAGAATTTCAGTGTATTAGGAAACAGTCACACAGAAATTTCATCTGAGAAAATCACATTGTCCCAGTTAAAATTTCCATGCTGTAAGCGCCAGTTCAACCTTCGCTCCTTTTGTTCAGGTTTCATGATCGGTGATGGAATTCCTCGACTTTTCTGCCAACCCATTGCATGTAGCTCAGTTATAATTGTCTCCTTACAGACAGCCACAGTTCCTCTATCAATCATATCCAGCCTTAAGTTTTCTAAACTCCTTCGTTTGTTTTTAGACACATGATTACCAAGTCGCCTCCAGTCATCGACAGTCAATTTTCTGGGCCTACCTGCGCCTCCCTGGTGCTCAATGCCATATCCATTTGCAATATTTTTCAAAACACGATAAACAGTGGACAAAGGGATGCCTGTTCTACTTGAAATCACTTTAGCTGATCTGATGTCCTTGTTATAATACTCTAAAATCAACTTCCTCTTCTCTAAATCATCCATATTGAGAATCACTGAAAATGTCGTCTGCTAGCAAGTAAACAAAGGGGGATAACTCTTCAGAAACTAATGAAAAATGATTAACGGAGTTGTCTCTCTTGAATGAAACCAAGCACTTGATAGCTGGTCAAGGTTGTTTATACTAGAAATCCAATTAATATGGAATACTGTAAGGGACATTCGTAAAATCTCGCGTTCTCGCGATCTCGCATTCTCGCACTTTTGGCATTTTTAGCTTGTTTCCAAAGGACGAGATCGCGAGAAAGCGAGATCGCGAGAATGTCCCTTACAGTATTCCATAAATTAAACATATTCCTAAAATTCTCAATAATTTCTGGTCATACTATATTGTGTACAGCAGTGTGTCAATATATATATTTATATACCCATAAAGTGCTCTGGAAAATTCAGTAACGTACAGGAGGCTCGACTTTTGATGTTACTCAATCTGTGGTAGTATGTAATCTTGTGCATCGAACCCAGGTCTCAAATCAGCTGAAGTTAAGCAAATTTGGCCACGGAGAGCCCTTGGATGGGTGACCGCGTGTGACAGCTTGACTCCTGAGAGTTTCTAGGACTTCAGTCCTGCCCCACAACTAAGTACACTTTTGGTCTCACCTTCGGCAACTGAGTTTGTTCAAAAGTGTCTGTTCACCTAGCAATGAATGGGTACCCGATGGAGTAAGTGATATGGTCACTATATGACTTCTAGCGCCGCACCAGCAGCTTGGTTTAACCGGGATGATAATGCATAATATAAAAATTACTTTAATACATATAAATACAAGATTTAAACAATATTTTATTTCCATTAATGTTTACAATTTCCATGTTCCATGACATAGCAAAGTGGAAATGGGATAAGCACATTGGATATAAATACAATGGATAGTTTAATGTATAATTTGTGTGTGTATCAAAATAAAACCATCTGTTAAGTTATTTTATTTAAAACAGCTATCAACTTTATTTATATGTATTATTTATCATGTAGAGAATAGAAATTACTGCCCCAATGAATGCACAAATAAAAAGTACATTTCAAAGCTAGATCCTTGTTCAGTTATTTTCCGATGAACATTTTAGCATTAACCGTACCGTTGTAAAAACCATTGTCTGGAACTAGTCGACCTAAACGACATACCCCTCCAAACCGACCAGTTTGATTTTACACCCATCCAAAGGTCGGACTTACGGGACCTAACCGTCTTACCATGCACAAGTCCGTGGATTCAGGATAAATGTCCGTTGTGAGTTTCTATAATTTCTGATATAACCAAGAGTCGCGTCTGTTTTGCCATTGTGTGACTGCTGAATGGAGACACACATACTCCTCCTGTTTTTAATATAGAGGTTTCGAGTGTAAATAGGTATCCGATCCACGTTAGAAACTTCTACACAAAAAAGTCACGATGTTTATCTTCTGACTGTATGACCTGTTTATATTAAATATAACTTTCTGATTTCTCTGTTTAACTCACTATTTTACTCATCGTTGCAGCGTACAAGCAGAACTTCTCGCACCTGAAGAAATTGGTGCTGATTGGTGGGCCAGATGACGGAGTTATCACCCCTTGGCAGACCGGGTAGGTTCTGGGTTGTAACAACCATAGTTACCATCAACAATCGGGGCACGTGTTGGGCTATACAACCCTGAACAACCCATGTATACACATGGCCAAAATGTTGCTATAGTATCAGTATCCAGTAATGGAGTCACTCGGCCTTTCTAAAAACACTGAATATCGTTACCATGAAAAACAGCAGTGCTTGTCACCGTCCATTAGACCATGGAGTTGATATGTGCATGCAGTTGGTCAGCGAATGCAGGCTCAGTGAGTTTAGTTATTGTTATTTCTATTATGAACTTGAGATTCTTGAGAGGCATTTAGAAGTTGGTGAATATATAAGACAAGTATATGGATGGCAACTTCTTCTTTATTGTATAACACGACGTTTCTGGGCTACTTCTTGCCCCTTCTTCAGGTGATTGATAACGCGACGTTTCTGGGCTACTTCTTGCCCCTTCTTCTGGTGATGCCCTTCTTCAGGTGATTCAAGGGGCAAGAAGTAGCCCAGAAACGTTGTGTTATGCAATAAAGACGAAGTTGCCATCTATGCCATTCATGCAAGGGATATATGCATCTCCTCCCTTAACCTCAATGTAGCAATATGTCAGTTATGAATATAAGATGTTTATAACATGGTGGGTATATACTCTCCCAAAAAGAAACGCATCATGAAAATAGCAATTTCATGTAGCAATGAATTAAAACGTGATTCATTTTACAAAAGGTTTTGCTCTGTTTATGAGTCCTAAGGTGTTTATGTTTTGAAACATCACAACAAAACGCAGCATCCGTAAAATACCCGTATTTAACAGCATGATTTTCAATTTCGGCGTGTAGTGTCACAGAATACACAATTCACATGCAATGCACGTGAAAGTTGGGGATCAGATAGTCTCAATGATGGGTATAAAAGGTGGATCGCTGTCTGTCGATTATTCACTGTATTTGGAATATTGTTGACGAACGCAAAATGCCACGTCTAAGTGAAGCCAACAGTCATATCGCCATTGGTTTGCTTGAAGCTGGCCAGTCTCAACGTGCAGTTGCACGACGCATGAATGTTCACCAAAGCACCATTTCACGGCTCTGGGAGAGATATCGCCGGCAGAATGCGGTAGCAGATGCCCCTCGTAGTGGGCGACCTCGAGCGACCACTGCGGCGCAGGATCGCTACATCCGGGTACATCACCTGCGTCATCGAACAGCTACGGCGACCAGTACCGCTCGACAAATACCCGGATTGAGGAGGCTTTGTGCACAGACCGCCAGGAACAGGTTGAGAGAGGCTGGTTTACGTGCCAGAAGACCTTATTTTAGCCCTGTGCTTCGACAACAACATTGTCGACATCGAGTTCAATGGTGCACCAACGTTCCGGCCTGGAACCTACCGAATTGGCGTAGAATCTGGTTCAGTGATGAATCACGATTTCTATTGGAACTACACGATGGAAGAATGCGGGTGTACGGACGTCGACGTGAACGTTTCGCCGACGCTTGCGTTCCCCAGGTGGACAGATTCGGCCGGGGCAGTGTTATGATGTGGGGAGCGATCACCTGCCGTAGGAGAAGTGATTTGGTGATGATCTAGGGCAACCTGACAGCTCAACTGTACTGTGACGAAATCCTACGCCCACACCTCCTTCCAATCATTGATCGCCAGAGGGAGTTGTTTCAACAGGACAATACCAGGCCCCACACAGCACGTCAAACTAGAGACTTCCTCCAGAACCACAACATCAATGTGCTCCACTGGCCCTCAAGATCGCCGGACTTCAACCCGATCGAACATCTGTGGGATGCCCTGGACAGACGGGTGCGACGCCGTAACCCTCAGCCCCAGACACTTCAGCAACTCGCACAGGCACTACAGGCAGAGTGGGCTGCGATTGGGCAACACGAGATTCTGAGACTTATTCGTTCGATGCCGAGGCGATGCCGAGGCGATGCCGTGCAGTTCTGGATGCCCACGGTGGTCACACGAGGTATTGACTTCAGGGCCACCACACGTCTCTATGTGACACTCAAACTGACTTTCCTCGAGTTGGTGCCAAAGACGGATAAGTCTGCATTCCCAGTGTGCAATTTCGCTATATTTCATTGACTCATAAAGCCTACAAGATGTTTCAATATACACATAAAAATACAGTTGAAATTCCTATGTGCGTTTCTTTTTGGGGAGAGTATATATACTCATGGCAACGAATATAGGAACACACGAAAGTGCAAGTGTTCCAATACTCTTTCCCGGTTTTCTTGCCATGCTTTATATTGCATTGTGGGTGGAAATCTGGAAGTAAATAAGGAACACTTGTACTTCATGTTTTCCCTTATTCGGTTCCCTGAGTATAGATAGATATGGCATTTCTGTTAACAACAGACACTTCGGGATGTTCAACTCCAGTGAGGCAGTTCTACCCATGGAGGACCAACGAGTAGGTATTCCTCATACTGTTAGTAGAAAGGTTTCGTTCTTCAATGATACCGAAGAATATTTGATTTATATTGTTAGAAAATGATTATAATCAAATACGTGTAACTCCATTAGATACCTCAAACATTTTCATTCAAGGCCTTGCGTGTGATTAGGTCCAGCGTCATCGATGCATATACTTGTTAGACACTGACTGCTGCACAAGTCCACAAAATCATATAATATATTTTTGGACGCAATTGTGTGAAATTAACGCTAGAAATAATCCAATAATCCCAAACATGTTCCACTGAACATAAAAGGTAAAACAGTGGTGACAAATATATAGACAGATCACTGAAAATAAGTGTTCACATCATTGTCTCGACATTTGCCAAAGAAAGATTATTCCACTCTTCAGTAAGAGCATTGGTGGGTTCCTGTGAAGTTGCCACATGGACACTGCGTCCTGAGAGGGCGATCAACAGCGCGCTCGACATATGTTCGAAATGCTTGAGGTCTGGTGAATAGGCTTGCCACTTCTTCAGGATAATGGTCTCTTGTTCTGAGAATTCATCAACTACCCTGACACGATTAGGTCGTGCATCATCACCGTGCATCATTAGAATGAAGCCGGTCCAATTGCAACAGCATACAGGCTCACGCACATATAAATGCCATCCTTGTAGCCCACATCTCTCCCCATGCCCCGCTGCAGGACATATAGGGATTGGTTCTTCTAGCTTTAGTGACCACACTCCAAATTAGGACAACCGCCTCCACATCTTCGGCAATATTTGAATCCCGAAAACATTTAACTTGTCCACGCCACACTTGAGCACTCGGACAGTATCTAGATTCATTAGGGAAAAGTCCATTTGACGTGACCATCAGCCACATGTTGGTGGAACGCTGTCGACCACCTGCATGGCGCTGGGTAGCTGGTTCCCCGATAGCTGATAGTCGATGACCTTCTCTGATGAGCATACTGGCTGACACAAACACGCTTGCAGCATCCCTGTTCATCTGTCTAATTCATCGGCTTCCAAACAACGTCTTCGACGCTCAGGAGGCATTAGCTGTATGACCTGTAGGAGGCAGTGGCAAATGATGTGCTCTGATAATGATGATCAACGATTTTCTATTGAAATCCAACACAAGTTTTCATTCACCTCGTGCCCACGACTGCCTGCCTTCACCATTCATCTTGAAACCAAGGTCCAAAAGTGTTCGGGATATGTTAATGTTTATTTGTTGGATGTTGTTTTATGGGTAAGAATTGTTATCCTCATCACCAAAGTGGTGTAACATGTTATTATCGTCCCATAGGGATAATATTGTTGTTAATTCTTTACAGCTATTCGTATCAACGTAATTATTCGTAATATGGTTCTTACTTTAGTCACCACAGTAATACAATGTATTTAGCGTCACAGGTGTCGTAATAGTTATTTACTTAAGCAAATTCATTATTCTTATTTTCTACACATAATTGGTGCAACTGATCTGATCGTCACCAGAGTCGTGTGATGGTTATTACTGTCACCGAGGCGCTATACTAGTTATCAAATTCACCACAGTGGTATAACTTGTATTATTGTCACCCTGGTTGTATATTTTTATTGATCAATTTCTCAGTGGTATAAAGAGGACAGTTTTGGACTCCGGACACTCAACGTGAGGAAGGCGATCAAGATGCTCACATTCTCCGGCGTTCACCACACCAAGTGGCACGTCAACATGACCATCTACGAGAACGGCATCAAGCCATTCCTCACATAAACTCACCAAGAACTATCACACCTATCATGACAATCTACCAGCACGGCATCAATTTTCACAAACCAACATGTTAATTTTCCTGCACGGAATGACATTCTAGAAACACTTACACACCAAATCACATTAAATTTTCATGACCTTCCTGCGTGTGGAGCTACTTTCGACAAAGATCATGTAAATGTTTTAAAAAACAACCCAGTATACAATATTGTGTCTACAATATCGCACAAACTTGTAATCATTATGACCGCAATGGCGCGATGGTATCATTACATCAATTTCACATTTCGAGCTCGAAACTTGACCTGCAAATACAAAACATGACAGAACGATGATCAATATTGCTCCCTATGGAAAATATAATAACCCAGAATTGAACCGATATGCAAAACAAATCCTATTTGGACAAACAATTATGAAAGTACATATTGTGCACCGTATCCGCTTAAAAGCTCTCTCCAGTTGTGGCTCAACGAGTGTATTGCCGTCACATACGACTTCGGAGATGTTGTAGACGTGACGTCGACGTACACCTCGACGACGGCGACACTTCCAGCTGCGACTTAATGCTGCAACCGTAGATGATGGAACACCATGTATCCTGTTATTACAGTGCATATATTTCTTCATACATTTTTATATTTTTCACAAATTATTCTTAACGAAGGAAACCTGTATAGGTGCAAGTCTCTGTGCATAGTCTGTCTTGTTTATGGCCCGCATGTCAAGCGCAGTAGTAGGCAATTAGCAAACGCGTCCACGCCAACCTTAAACTAATTAATCAAAGATGAAGCTAGCGAGCTGTGTCGGCTCCGGCCTTTCTTCTCGGGTACATCCCTTGGTCAAGCACAGATAAGTAGTCCCATCCCAGCAGGAGCATGTCTACCACCAACTAAGTAGTAATCGAAAATCAACTTTTGTTGAACAAGATCGAGATTACCATCATGCCATCCTCTTTGTCCTGTCGTAAATGCCATGGTCAAGCGCTGACAGATATGTTGTTAAGCAGCTGGCGCAAGCTGACCGTGGCTACACCATAAAGAAAATCAAACCTTGTTAGGTAATCATCTTCTTACCACCTACCTCGTGTAGTAAACCTTGTCAGCATAGGGTAGATAACGCATATGGAAACTTCAACTTTATAGAAACTTGATAATGACAAACGAGTAGAGCTGTGGGGTATAAAATCCTGGGTTCTTCCATCTCAGGCACACTTGCTTGAATAAACCCTGGATCTCACAGCTTTGCCTCCTTTCTTGTTTCAAGGTAAGAAACATTTAAACTTTATTATTGTTTATGTTTCACTTGTTATTTCTTTGTAATTATCGTCTAGAAAATGTTAGAGTCAGGTTAGAATTATTCCTACAACATCGAAGCACTTTTTCATTGCAAATGCTAGTTCTAGATAACTGATTAATTATTAGGCACTATCCAGGGATATTTATTTATGCTCATTGCGTCGTTGGCTCCTCAAGTTCATGTTTTTCATGTACAAACGAATATTTCTTTTCTATGTTTCGACACACATGTGTGTATTCCCAGTCTTTGTCTTGTTTTATTCATTTGCGTGTTAGATCTGTTTATGCAGGTTAGATTCTCGTTCAGTAGCCTAGATTCTAGTAGCTTAGTCACAAAAACAGTTCCGAGAGTTTATACAATCATTTCCAGCAAAGACGAAGTTTAATGTATTTTACTATAGTCCGCCGATCAAATGATATTCGTGTAGATTTACCTCAGATACGCGCTCACATGATAGGTATAGCAGCCAACATTTGTGTTTTGATATTTCACCAACACTATAAGAATTTGAATAATGATGTATTAAACGTTCCGTTCCGCGTGCAGTTGTATACCGTACAAAACAGTTTATACGCGAATCACATTACCGTATTCAGTAGAAAATGGTATTGTCTACTCTTCATATTACCAGAAAATATACATTCAAATCCGTGTAGTTTGCAATTACAGTCTTCGTTCCGTATTTGTTTAGCTCCGTAATTTAAGAAATACGCGTAGCCAATGACAACAGCGCCGTCCTAGTACATTATTACGTATTCATTTAACTAAGTTACTGTCTTGTTTTGTAAAGCACAAAAATGTAGCACTACAGCATTACATATATTCTAGGTCATGGCTTAACTCCGTATATGTCGAAATTACACGTTGCCAATAGCAACATCACCGTCGAAATCCATTTACCGTAAAAATAATTCAGGATGGGACAAAGTAGTAGTACTCTAGCTAAAACTATATCGTCTGTCCCCGTAGTTACACATATTTATATCACTCTCAAGTTCCACTTACCGCATCTACCGAAATTATTGTATTGAGAAAATAAATGTTAACATTACAGTTAGAATGTGTACAGTCTATACCGGAGTTAAATGGTATATGTCAAATCTGAGCACTTCGCGCCGTTTACCGTATTTCCTCAAGGCATGTATGTTGATAACGGAAATTAACTTACACTAGTCATAAATCGTTACCGTAGTTAATGCATTAAGCGCGACATACCGTAATAATAGTAAATTCCTACCGTAGTTAACGCAATAGGCACTACATACCGTAATTGTCATAAATCGGTACCGTAGTTAACGCATTAGGCGCGACATAACGTAATAGTCATAAATCCGCACAACAGTTAATGAACTAGGCACTACATGCTGTAATTAAACTGTTGGGCGCTCCACTCAGTACTTGTTCTTTGCAATTGTTGTTGATGATTAATTTATCCGTCAGGTTATGTTATTTATCAGTACCGTAGTTACTCAAGAAAATGTTGTATTATTTGTATTATGTTTCTGTAAGCAGTTACCGTACATACCCTGTTGTACCACACATTGCTTATATTACCGGACTTAGATATAAACTGTATTAGGATATCATTGATTACTATTTCTATTATTGTATGTCATTATTATGTATGAATTGATGTATTTTGAATGTCATGCACGGACACTTGCTTGAATAAACCCTGGATCTCACAGCTCTGCCTCCTTTCTTGTTTCAAGGTTTCAAGGCTTGCTCCCTATAGCTAATTCCCCAAATCGAGGCCTGACAGCACCTTTAGCTTACCTAGCGCTAAAGGTCGTCCTAACGGACACAAAAAGAAAAGCTGTCTTACTGTCTTTGGAATGTTTCAACCTTTATCATTCCAGTTGTTTGGTTTCTTCACCTCTCTAAGGTGGAGATATGGAACATTTAGATCATCAGTAGCAGGACAGTTTGTGTACCTCTTGCTGTAGGCGACTTTCGTTGCCGCTACTGATATGTTTTGAGTACTACGTCATTTCCATAGACCATGACATTATGTACATGTACGCGATGATCTTGAGCGCGATCATTTCCGAGAAAAAAAATGCTTCATCGTAGGCTCATTACATAAACAATCTATTTAATTGTTTTTACGAAAATTAATACACTTTGCTTATTTTCGGACTTATCGTCTTTAATTTTGGTTAGTACAGAATAATATTTTGTGTGACATATGTGATGACCTGGTATTTAAATTTTAGACAGGAGTTTACACATCAATCTATGCTTTGTTTGTTTTGTTGTTTCACACCGTGATTCTGTTTTGATGATAATGAGTTTTAACCTGCGCTTTTCGACATGATGTAAGACGTGTATAAATATGTTTGTCTGGGCCAGATACCTCACTGACTAATATCATCAACTTCGATCTAATCAACTGGTAAAAGACCGCCTCCGTTGTATAGTGGTTAGAGCGTCCGCCCGGAGAGTTGAAGGTCGCGGATTCAATCCCCGGCCGCGTCGTACCAAAAGACGTTAAAATATTGTACTTGTTGGTCCCTGCCTGGCGCTCGGCATTAATGGGTTCAACACGGACTGGTCGGCTCGGAGTCGTAATAATGTGTCTGAGTGGATATTCATGTTTCACTGCGGCATGGTTTCTCAGTGAGATAGCACTATAAAACCAGCTTAAGTTTGGGCAAGTACAAACAGCCACACATACACACGCATGCACGTCGTCTTATGAGCAAAATATTCTTAAGTACGACGTTAAACCCTATTTGACCTCATGTCAACGGGTTAAGCTTTGTTTTTTATCTTTGTATGTGTCTGTGTAGATAGATAGATATGTATAGATATATAAATAGATAGATATGTAAATATGTATAGATATATAAATAGATAGATATGTATAGATATATAAATAGATAGATATGTATAGATATATAAATAGATAGATAGGTATAGATCTATAAATAGATAGATATGTATAGATATATATAGATAGATATGTATAGATATATAAATAGATAGATATGTATAGATATATAGATAGATAGATATGTATAGATATATAAATAGATAGATATGTATATATATAGAGAGTTAGATAGATATAGATATATAAATAGATAGATATGTATAGATATATAAATAGATGGATAGATATGTATAGATATATAAATAGATGGATAGATATGTATAGATATATAAATAGATGGATAGATATGTATAGATATATAAATAGATAGATAGATATAGAGAGATAGGCAGCCACATAGACGCATACGTTTGCTAGTGTTCAGCTATATGCATATGTATACATTTGTATGTACACGTTTTTCTTAGATGATGAACCTTTAGTCAAAACGATGCTGGAATACTTTCACCTATGTGTATGCCCTAAATCGGTTGTATTTATATGTCATATACCAAAATGTAAAGCACGTCCGTTATACATTGTTATGTAGTTTGTCCATATGTACTACATCCTTTTTAATATGTACCTGTGTTATAACATATCCGTGTGGCACACACGTGACGATCCAGGTTAGAATGAGTCTTCAATAACCCATGCTTGTCGTCAGAGGCGACTAACGGGATCGGTTGGTCAGACTCGCTGACTTGGTTGACACATGTCATCGGTTCCCAATTGCGTAGATCGATGCTCATGCTGTTGATCACTGGATTGTCTGGTCCAGACTCGATTATTTACAGACCGCTGCCATATAGCTGGAATATTGCTGAGTGCGGCGTAAAACTAAACTCACTCCGTGTGGCACATATGTCTACGATGTACATCTTTACAGAAAGTGTCCAACGTATTGTATTGCTTAAAAGTTTTAATCGGCTATACATGTGCATTTAATATACCACTCAACTTTTGATATATTTTATCAGAAATTAATAAATGTTGGTTGTAACTGGATTAGAACTCTATTCTCATTCTCAGCTCCCTGGGAATATAAAACACAAGCTGCTTTGCTCTTGAAGATTAAAACCCGTGAAGATCCTGGCTAAAATTGGTCTCCAGCAACCCATGCTTGTCGTAAGAGGCGGACAACGTCATCGGGTGGTCAGGCTTGTTGACTTGGTTGACACATGTCCTCGGTTCCCAAATGCGTAGATCGATACTCATGATTCTCATCACTGGATTGTCTGGTCCAGACTCGATTATTTACAGACTGCCGCCATATAACTGGAATATTGCTGAGTGCGGCGTTAAACAACCAACCAGCCAACCTACTTGAAGGTGAAGTCGCATTACCTGCTCTTATTATACTGTTTACCAATTTTCACATATTTCCCGACAAATTATGTTAATCCTGGAAAGAAAACAACTTATCCCTGCCAACAGTTGAGTAGTATGTATTTCTGTGGATTTCCTCCACATCTTCCTTTGTGTAAAAAGAGCGTGCAAACATACACCATAACTGAAAGACTTCTCACACTTTATACAGTGAATATTGGCAGCGTTGATCATATCACAGAATGGGCCATATCTTATAAAACAATGACATTTCCACGAGAACAGTTAACAATGAAATCACAGGACACATCACAACACAACAGGCTCCCACAGAGTGAGCCATATCATGGACAGTAATTGAGATCAATCAGGAAATCACACTGATCTCAGTTCTCGCTTCCGCTGGTCACAGACCTCAGGGCATCCTATTCCGGGTCATGACCTTTCATCCGACCAATCAGAGCGTTGCTTACCAGGTGAGAAAGTGACAGTCGGAATGTGTTTTCAAATCATGCAACCTCGAAATGATTATCACGAGATATTCCGAACGGCATTTCAGATTTTTCTTTTCTGCGTTTTTCAAAATTGAATCAAAGTTGAACCCAGAGCGGTAAAGCTCGTGAAAACTCACGTAGTTATTTAATTGGTCGATCAATAATCTAGACACTTTACTGAGGTGTGACCAGCAATGGCATCAGTCCTCGGATCTTTGTTCAGCCTTAGCAAGGTTGGGAAAGGTCAAGGTCAGCAGGGATGAAGTGCTGTGTTTATGACGTGCAATAACTGCACCTCAAAGAAGCCTAGCACCACTCCCTAAACTCTTTGGTCCTAAACGTATTTTGAGTAATATATTTACACAAATATTGGATCTGAATAAGTGCATAAGATAACTCCAGGCTAAAGTCCAGTTTCCACAGTTTGCCGAACGAGACTGGAATTTCGTTGCTTGGCCGTAGCGCCACCAGTGGCTATTACGAGTTACGTCCCTTCTAGCCAACCAAATTCCGTCTATCACATTACATATACATCCTCTTACTTCGAGCATCAACTTACGTGTGCACCTTGAATAAAAGTATGAAATTAATGGAAAATGCCCCTCGACGATTTGTTGACAAAACATGTTTTTGCAAATCATGATTTTGACCTTATGCAACAACTGTTCATAGACTCGTTAGTCTAGTCTAGATCACCAAGGGTGAAAACTGGACTTTGATAGTCAGTTACCTCCCTTGTCACGGGAAGATGGAGATTCCAACGATGAACGGTTTGTTAGAAACCCTGTATGTCATGTCAGATGAACACACGCGCTGGTTTACATTATGTGATATGAACAAGAAGCAGGGAGATTTCAAAGGGTATCAGTGCTATGTTACAGTTGTAAAGCTTAAATATGGACATACATTTCAGTTTCTGTTTTTCAAAGTATTCAGAAGTAATCAGCAGCTGGTATGTTAGTGTAATATGTAAGATAAGATAATACATATTATACCCCACGACAAATTTTGTGAATCTGAAAAGTGTCACTGAACACGGGGGTAGATGTCATCGTCAGTATTTGTTTGTGTCCACATTTGCTATCCTTACCCGACGGAAAAACCTTCCCGAGATACCTGTCAGCTAAAAGATCACCACCTCGTATTAGACTGCAAATTAACAAAATATGTTTGAATGTATATATGAAGACTCTTCCCAATCTCAATATTGATCATTGGGAATTGAACACCAGTACCATTCCACATTTCGATACCAGAAAGTTTCGTCGTTACAGCTCTTCCGCCAATTCCTCATTCAGGAACTTCTTTTTTGTGACAATATTGGCCCCCAAAGTTGGCCTTCCCCGCTTCATTGTTACAAATACTCCGACCATTCCACATTCAGGAACTTCTTGCTTGTGACAAAGTTCCCTCTTCATTTTACCATTCCTCATTGAGGAACTTCTTTTTGTGACAATATTGGCCCCCAAAGTTGGCCTTCCCCTCTTCATTGTTACAATTCCTCCGCCCATTCCACATTCAGGAACTTCTTTTTATGACAATATTGGCCCCTAAAGTTGGCCTTCCCCTCTTCATTGTTACAATTCCTCCGCCCATTCCACATTCAGGAACTTCTTTTTGATGACAATATTGGCCACCCCAAAGTTGGCCCTCCCTGGTAGAGTGAAGCTGATGGCAGCACTGGTGTCAGTGTCGAGCAGGCTTGGGTCGAACCATACTGTATCACGAAGTATGGCGTCCCCCGACTCGCCCCCTACTATCACTACCCCGCCACGGCATCTTACAGCGCCGAACCGACGGCGGTTAAAGTTTGGGATTTTGGACACAATTTTACACCGGTAGTCATCGTCGTAGTCCATGACGGTTCCGTCTGTGCAGAAGATGTAGATGCGTTTGTCATAGAAGACGCTGCGGGTCAGCTTGCACGGCAGGCATAGATCCCCTATGAAGTATGTGCTCTGGAACCGCGTGTCGAAGCACTGGATTGCGGACGTCTCCCGTTCATCGTTCTGGAGACCTCCGAACACGAAAATCTTTTCCTTTGAGACCGCCGCCGACATTGATCTCACCGCCTGCACGAGACAACCCGACTTCCGCCACGTGCACGTGCTGAGCTGAAACTCCTCAACGTCGCATAGCGTTCTTTTGGACTCCTCGTTCGCCCTGTCGTCATAGCCGCCCATGACGTACAGCGATTCCCCGACGGCCACCATGATGTGTCGACGACGTCCCGTTATCATCTGCGTGCATTTATGCCACTCGTTGTGCTCCGAGTTGAACCTGACGAGGCTCTGAGGCTTTTGAGAGCCCCCGGACACAAAAATATCATTGCCGTACACAGTGCAACAGTATTCGCGACCCAGTTTGAACAGTAACGGGCAAAGGATGAACCATTTCTTCTTCCGGTTGCTGTAACACAGAACGTCCGTGACCTTCTCGCCGCTGTCCGAGTAGCCCCCGAGTACCACAAGTACCTCCTCGCTGTGGGTGTGGTGGCGGTGGAAGGTGCGGGGTGACGTGAACTCATGTCTGCGAGCGGGGAGCATGTGATAACTGACTGCCTCACTCACGACCCGCTGACAGCGTCGGTTTTCCTTCAATATTGGGTGCGACTCCACCTCGTTGATGAGGTACTCGGAGGTCACCAAGGGTAGACGGAGGTGCGGTATGAGATCGTCCATGCAGCGGGACCTCTCTCCTGCGTCCGCTTTACACCACGAGAAGACGGCGTCACAGACGCTCTCTTCTTGGGGGACGTTCAAGTCGTCGTTGGAGATGATTTGTTGCAGTTCCTCTTTGTCCAAACAGTAGAAATTTTCCGATTTACTGATTTCTTGAAAATTACTGAGTATGCACGCATAGGATTTCTCCTCTAACAGCTTGCACACATGCGCACGGGCGATTTTCCACAACGCTAAACAATTGTCTGAACAAATATGGCCTATTAAGAACTTCTCGCACTTCTCCGTCAGCATCGTGATTTGAAACATGGACGATGCTTTCAAAATTTCTTCGGCGTTGTCGACGTCAACTTCACACCTTCCAGTGTACAAAAATGTCAGGATGTTCTCAAATGCGTTTGTAGAGAGTCCCTGTGGGCGAACAATGTTGTCGACACTTTCTTTCATTCCGCTGGAGAACATAGCATCGAAGTATGGCGACGTTGCCGCGAGCACTGCCTTGTGGCACTCAAACACGACATCCTTGATACACACGGTGACGTCGGTGTGACGTCTCTCCGTGTAGAGGCGGTGTAGGTTGCTCTGGAGATGCAACGCCGTCTCGACGTCGACACCCGGTAACGGCTTGAGTTCATCACCAGGATTCTGCAACATACAGGTCTATTAGTATTTCAGGTAATCTGATCTCTACCTATACAAATATACAATCATAATGCCAGGCAACAAGGAACAAAGCATTCCAGTACAGAAAGTGAATATGATAAGTTTGTAAATTTAACTAGATTATTGATTTTAAACATATTATGAATTTATTTATAAACTCGTGACGAACCGGATCAGAACTGGTTTTCAGCAACCCATTCTTGTAAGAGGCGACTAACGCGATCGGGTGGTCCGGTCGCTGACTTCACGTAGCAATGCTCATCACAATCACATGATTGTACGGTCCATGTATTTACAGATCACTGATATATACCTTTAATATTGCTAAGTGCGGCGTTAAACAACAAACAAACAAATAAACTCTCCCAAAAAAAAAGAAACGCATCATGAAAAGAGCAATTTCATGTAGCAATGAATTAAAACGTGATTCATTTTACAAAAGGTTTTGCTCTGTTTATGAGTCCTATGGTGTTTATGTTTTGAAACATCACAACAAAACGCACCATCCGTAAAATACCCGTATTTAACAGCATGATTGTCAATTTCGGCGTGTAGTGTCACAGAATACACAATTCACATGCAAAGTTGGGGATCAGATAGTCTCAGTGATGGGTATAAAAGGTGGATCGCTGTCTATCTATTATTCACTGTATTTGGAATATTGTTGACGAACGCAAAATGCCACGTCTAAGTGAGGCCAACCGTCATATCGCCATTGGTTTGCTTGAAGCTGGCCAGTCTCAACGTGCAGTTGCCCGACGCATGAATGTTCAGCAAAGCACCATTTCACGGCTCTGGGAGAGATATCGCCGGCAGAATGCGGTAGCAGATGCCCCTCGTAGTGGGCGACCTCGAGCGACCACTGCGGCGCAGGATCGCTACATCCGGGTACATCACCTGCGTCATCGAACAGCTACGGCGACCAGTACCGCTCGACAAATACCCGGATTGAGGAGGCTTTCTGCACAGACCGTCAGGAACAGGTTGAGAGAGGCTGGTTTACGAGCCAGAAGACCTTATTTTGGCCCTGTGCTTCGACAACAACATGTCGACATCGAGTTCAATGGTGCACCAACGTTCAGGCCTGGAACCTACCGAATTGGCGTACAATCTGGTTCAGTGATGAATCACGATTTCTATTGGAACGATGCGATGGAAGAATGCGGGTGTATAGACGTCGACGTGAACGTTTCGCCGACGCTTGCGTTCCCCAGGTGGACAGATTCGGCAGGGACAGTGTTATGATGTGGGGGGAGATCACCTGCTGTAGGAGAAGTGATTTGGTGATGATCCAGGGCAACCTGACGGCTCAACGGTACTGTGACGAAATCCTACGCCCACACCTCCTTCCCATCATTGATCGCCAGAGGGAGTTGTTTCAACAGGACAATGCCAGGCCCCACACAGCACGTCACACTAGAGACTTCCTCCAAAACCACAACATCAATGTGCTCCCCTGGCCCTCAAGATCACCGGACTTAAACCCGACCGAACATCTGTGGGATGCCCTGGACAGATGGGTGCGACACTGTAACCCTCAGCCCCAGACACTTCAGCAACTCGCACAGGCACTACAGGCAGAGTGGGCTGCGATTGGACAACACGAGATTCTGAGACTAATCGTTCGATGCCGAGGCGATGCCGTGCAGTTCTGGATGCCACGGTGGTCACACGAGGTATTGACTTCAGCGCCACCACATGTCTCCATGTGACACTCAAACTGACTTTCCTCGAGTTGGTGCCAAAGACGGATAAGTCTGCATTCCCAGTGTGCAATTTCGCTATATTTCATTGACTCATAAAGCCTACAAGATGTTTCAAAATAAACATAAAAATACAGTTGAAATTCCTATATGCGTTTCTTTTTGGGGAGAGTATAGGATGTCATATGAATCTGCAACTAACCATGACACCAATCATGTTTTAAATGTTGTCATTTATACCTTACAATTCAATATTATTTAAGGCAACATTTTCACACCACACTTCTCTGAAAAAAATAACGAATTTATCTCAGTAATACTATCAGCCCTCAGGGAAGCTATAACATATTCCTAAAACATTACTTATTTACATTACAATATTAAATTAGAAACGTTCGAATGAAATAATGCAACGTTGCGCCCTCTACCGGTAAAACATTGTTTCCAGCGAACCCCATAGAGTTGTGTCCCTTGGAGCACTCTTTACGAATATCCTCCGCACAACTTGTGATTGAAACCAGTTCGGCAAACACCGACAACACCGCATGCGACAGTTTTCGATGTACGTTGCAATTGTTTACATTCCATATATGGCAAGTGTTCTCTGTTTGGAAGCTGTTCGCATAGAAGTTTGAAGTATCGATTTCAGCCAAGTCGTAAAGGATAATGAGTTTTTTACTGCATCAATAGGAAACTAAAGTGAGAGCATATGTCCCAATATGTATAATATAGGTCAAATATTGTCGAAAATATGTGACATTGTGCTTTTAACATCGATAACTGATATTTATATGATATTTTAATTGAAAATCAAGCATAAGATAAAATCAGCTGAGAGGTATGGTTTCTTTTTCATACTTCAGATCAATAGTACATCAAGACCTCAAAACTCATGTAATATATGTCCCGAACACAAATAACATCGTCAATACTGAAAAATAAGTTAAAAACTTCCTCGTCTGAGAAAGATGAGTTCACAGTTGTATAGCACTCCGGGGAAACCACAGGTTTAGTGCTGAACAAAACAGAATCTCAGTATAGAAATACTCAACCTACGTACGGACGCACTCACCCACCCAATATTTCCGCTTCATTCCGTCGATATATGCAATCACTGCAGTTTGAAATCAAATCAATCTAATACCTGCTGAGGGTTTGTTGACAAATGGCGTGATCCCACTTTAGCATCGATTTTCCTCCAGTATATTTTGTCATTCTACGAAACACCATGTAAATAGAATAACAGAGGACACTGCATAACAATAGACCCAAACATCGACCATACAGTTGCCTGGAGCAAGTTAGAAAGTCTGTTTCGTCTTGTTAACATGTCGGTTCCTGCATTATTTATCCTATGCTCATCCAAAACAAACCACTGTTGGTATGTCGCGGATAAATCAATAAACACACGACACGATGTGCAATAATGTGTCTAATATATTCCCTGGGGGTATTTTGTTATGCCTCTTGTTTTGCCCGGCTTTTGTCAAACTTTTCCATCTGTTATGATTCACAATGCCAGAACGTGGTCAAATGTAACATGGTACAGATTCCAGTACTTTTTGGGTTGAGTCCATCCAGGATTCGAACCCATACCCTTAGAGTCATTGCCAACACACAAAGTCAGCCATCTAACCCACTCAGCCATCGCAGCTTTACTTGTTGGTTTTCCTAGCACGCGTTGTCCTCGTCACAATAATATTCCGTATTGGCGGAACGGCTTCTTTTCACTTTATAAGTATCAGCACACATGCATCTATATTCTCTAAATATTTATAGCAATATTTTGTAGTTCTATCTCTTTAAGTAAGCGCTTAAAGCCAACAAGACGCGTGAAGATCCGGGATGGAATTGGTCTTCAGCAACCCATGTTTGTCGTAAGAGGCGACTAACGGGATCGGGTGGTCAGGCTCGCTGACTGGGTTGACACATGTCATCTTATCCCGATTCCGTAGATCGATACTCATGCTGTTGCTCACTGGATTGTCTGGTCCAGACTCGATTATTTAGACCGCCGCCATATACTAGTAGCTGGAATATTGCTGAGTGCGGCGTTAAACAACCAACCAACCAGCCAGCTTGCATGAAGGTGAAGTCCCATTACCTTCTCTTATTATACTGTTTACCAATTTTCACATGTTTCCCAACAAATTATGCGAATCCACAAATAAACCAACAAACCAAACCTCATTGATCCACAGTTACTCATAACGGACTGGTGTAGTGGTTAGAGCGTCCGCCCGGAGAGCGGAAGGTCGCGGGTTCGATCCCCGACCGCGTCATACCAAAAGACGTTAAAATATGGTACTTGTTGGTCCCTGCCTGGCGCTCGGCATTAATGGGTACAACAAGGACTGGTCGGCTCGGAGTCAGTATAATATGGCACGATTAACAGCTGAAAGGAGAGAAGGTGCCATTGGGATGGTGCAGATGGGGTCGACATACAATGCTGTTGCCAACGCCCTCGGATGCCACCGTATCACGGTTATAAGACTTATTCAGGGCTTCAGACAGGCTGGGATCACCGTAGACAGACCAAGAAGTGGACGTCCACGCATCACAACGCCAGCTGAAGATAGGTACCTCCGTCATAAAGGAAGGAGGGTAACGTTTCTTTTGGCGTTTAGTGTATATAATGTGTCTGAGTGGGGTATTCATGCTTCACTGCGGCATGGTATCTCAGTGGGCTAGCACTATAAAACCATCTTAAGTCTGGGCTAGTACAATCAGCCGCACATACACATACACACGCATGCACGTCGTGATATGAGCGAAATATTCTCAAGCACGACGTTAAACCCAATTTCACCACCACCATAACGCACTGGTCGCGCATGTGCAGTTCCCTTACTATTATTCCGTCTGGATTACGTGTTTAACAAACCGTCGCCATCTTTGCGTGAGTATACATGGCTGTCATTAATATTCAATGTAGCCGTCATGTTTGGTCGTCGCAATGCAGTTGTAAGCCGCTGTCTGTCGTGTGGGGCAACCGCGTGCTGGATGTGATTCAACATAGTTACACATCTGTATGTATGTATGTGATTTTACTGGTATGTACCTGGTGGACCTTTTGGTGGGTGTGTGATGGATGGGTGGGTGTGTGGATGGGTGGATGGGTGGGTTGGTGAAGGGATGGATGGTGGATGGATGGGTGGGTGGGTGAGTGAGCGGATGGATGGATGAGTGGATGGATGGGTGGGTGAGGATGGATGGATGGATGGGTGCGTGGGTGGCTGGGTGGGTGAGTGGATGGGTGAGTGAGCGGATGGATGGGTG